GAGATTTCTAGTGATTGCAGGCCGAGTTTTTAGGTAGATGCTGAGGATTTTAAAATTTCTCCTTTCCAAACTATAAGGTGATTTCACTTTCTTTTTTGAGAGGATGTGGTTAGTGTACAATGCAATAGTGTATGTAACAGCACTTTAGAAAGGCAGGTAATATATCAAAGGAGGTTATTATCATTTACCTTCGTTTCCTGTGTGACCCTTTTTTTTTTCTCACTGTCCCTTTAAGACCATTGTTACCATTTACTTCTGCCTGTACTCTCTCCTCACTTTCCTTCCTCAGAGGCAAAGGAAAGCAAGAGTTTAAAAAAAAAAAAAATGGGTGCCTGGTTCCATATCTCTCAGTCGCTTCCAAATATGTATTTGAAATGCCATTGCCTCTCTCCGCATGTGTCTCTCTCAATATATATATATTATATCTCTCTCTTAATATACATATATTAAGACTGTTGGGGAGAATCTGGCTCCACACTCCACAGGAACATCCCACACTGTGTGTGTTTATGACATCTTTTGCCACTTCTGCTTCTGCTATACACGTTTTTCCCCGAAACATAAGCATTTTTGGTAATAGGAAAAGCATTTATTCTCTTAGATTAAACCCAGTGTTGAGCCCCTACTACATTGCATGGGTACTAGTGACTGATAAAACAGAATTTTCATACCTAGGTCATCTGCCTTTGGGTAATGCCTAGTTGACAGTACCATAGAATCAGTACAGAAGTGAAGTTTTTGGTGAAAGATACAACGTGGGCTGGTTTATGAGAGTAAGAAATGAAACTGGTCCTAAACAGTCATAAGAGCTGAGGTTTATTTCTTACATTAACATCTTTATTTTCCTTACACTCTCACCATTAAAAAAAAAATGGTATACTGGAGAACGTGGAGTGAATAGTAGAAAGAACATTCTAGTAATGTGTTTTGGTGGAATCCTGTCTCCTTTCAAAGGGGCTTTGTATACAGTAAGCTAAACCTCCCCTGAAAAGAAGTAACATCAACCTTTTTTGACCTGAAGTTTTGGGTTTTTTTAACCAAACTTAAATTGGAGGCTCTTTGACAGGTAGAAAAATGTTCTGTGAACACAAACTAATAAAAACATTATTTTTTTAGTTTTTCTCATTGAAATGAAAACAAAATGAGGAGCTATCCTCTGAGAGAAGCTGAAACTCCCCTGGAGCTGTGAGGTGATGGAGGATCTTGTCAGGTTACTGTGGTCATGTTCAGGGAGCAGCTCTGCCTCACGCTGGGAAGCTGGCACTTCCTGTTTCTCGCTTTCACAGATCTCTCCTACCCCAGCGCCTCAAGCCATTCAACTGAACTTTTGGAAGTCGTTGTGTATTCAAACCCATCACTGTGTAACTAAATGGAAAATTCATCATAAGATAATGGAATTACAGAAGACACCCTGTTGAATTAGTTGACAGACTGCCAGTTGGAGGAGGAGTAAAAACCTAGCTCTCCCTGAGCAAAGAGTCAGGCCCAGTGGGTAGTTGGAACATGGGTGTGTTTATTCCGTCAAACAGCACTTACAGTGCCTGGTGATGGAACAGAAAGACATTACCTTCCTATCACGTCTTCACAGCCTAGGAGGGGAGATGGACAGATGTAAAGAAAATAGCACGATTGTTCATATCATGGGAGAGACATGAGGAAGAGGGCCTTACTAAATCCTAACTAAATCCCAGTTGAGCATGGAAAGAAAGGATTAGGAATGTTTCTTCCAGAAGTGATGCCTGAGCTGAGTCTTACCAGGAGGAGGGGTTTTAACCAGGACGAGAAAGGATGAAAGGCAGAAGGGAGTGAGAAGGAGGGCGTTTCTGGCAGAGGATGCCTGAAGGTGTCCTTAAAAAAAGTCATTTCAATAGGTCTTTGCAGAACCGAGGATCCTCATTTTGGAACTCTCATCATAGCAGACACAGGGTCTGCACCTGTTTTTGTAAATAAAGTTTTAGTGGAAAATGGCCACACCCATTCACCTCCCCTATTGTCTGTGGCTGCTTTTTTGCTACAACCCAGAGTGGGTAGTTAAGACAGAGACCACGTGACCTGCCGAGCCGCAAATATTTACTGCCTGGCTTTTTACAGACAATGTTTGTCGACATGTGGCACAACATATTTTTATTCCTTAAAACTCCTGGTGAAGAGGACAGGACCCACACTGGCAGCAACCGGGGTTTGCTTGCAGGCCTTCAAGGGCCTGTTAGTTTATTTTATGACCTCGTGATTTCTCTTCACCCCCACACACCACATGTCCAACTCAGTAGCGTCTAGTTTCCATGACTCCTGTCTCTGAATATCCAAAACTGGAGTAGTACCTATAATGTGTGAAGAAAGGGGGGCATTTCACTCTAACTGTGCCCTTAAATGTTTGATTACCCCAGTTCAGCTTTTAGACTCAGCTTAATTTCTAGGAACTGCTGCTGCTTTGCTTGGTAAGTGTTGCCAAGAAAATTGAATTAAAAATAGTGATAGGAGTAGTAGCCATTGAAAAGCATCTCTCTTTTTTGGTGAGGCAGTCCATTTGGTAGTATATTCTGAAGATGGCTGTCCCCTTAAAATAAGTGTGAGAGAGAGAATGTTATTTTCAGAAGTGGCTATGCATTTGAAATATTGCTTTCCTGGATGTAGTGAGTGAAAGTTGTGTCGAATTACATAGCAGACGCCAAAGTTTAAGCACCTGTTGTGGTCTGTGTTATCAGTTTTGGGAGTGCCAGACCAGACTTTTTATAAATGTTAACTTATTAAATAAGAGCTGGATGAAATAGAGGTGTAGTTATTCTCATTGTATAGATGGGAAAAAAGTCTCCTACAAGCTAAGTACCTTAACTACTAAACGACTCTGTTAACTACTAAACGACTCTGCTTCCAATCTGTGATAAGGAGGATATTGATTTTTATACTCTAGTTATCCATAAGAAGTAGAATGTTCATTAAAAACGCTAAATCACAGATCGAGGATCTCTATTTCAGACTGTCAAAAGAACTGGTTTTCAAGGGACAGGTTCAACTAACCCCCGCTTCCCGCCCCCGAGCATTAATTTTTGTTTTAGCCCCAGGAGCCACTGACATCACTGAAATACTATCAAATGATGTTGTTTGGGATCTGAATTCTTATTAGTATTTTGTGTAAATAGAAAACTATCAGCAGTAAGTACTCGTGACATTTTCCAAGCAGGTCTGGAAGATATAGTAGTTCTAAAAAGAAAAGCATGTAGGTTTAGGGTTGTCCTAATGTCCAGCTAAAGTGGCCATTCCTAAACAAATTCCGATCATAACCATTCCCTCCTTAAAACCTTTTAGTGCTCTGCCATGCCCTTAGCATGAAGACTAAAGCCTTTATCATGGTGCTTGAGGCCCTTCTGATTTGGGCTCTGCCTGCTTCTGTCTGACCTCTCACTACCTCACACTTCTTCATTCCAGTCAGAGGGTGTCCCTGCAATTGGAACTGTTGGGTAGTTAGGTAGTCATGAGCAATGGGAGTGAAGGCCCAGCTCTGTAACCATTAGAAATGACAAGAATGAAGGCCCCTCCCAAAGACCACCCAAAGACCTCCCTGAAACACCCATTTTATAGTTATAAATCACCCCTGCATCCTGAGGAGCAAAGGAATGCAGGGTTGTAAACCAATAGCTGGTTTAATCGGCCACAAGCACTTACGCAGTTAGTGCCTCATTATGCCATCATTATAATATCATGCCTATGCCCGGAAGTTCATGAATAATTAGACTGAATTCTGGGTAACCACATGTGCAGTAGGCAGAGAGTAATGTAACAGCCAGATGTCAATCAAAATGACTTCAGGTGCCAATCATCTAAGACCACCTTTGTAACTTCCCTTTACAGCCCAGATATGATACAGACTTCCTCACTTCCACAAGGTTACAGCCCTTGCTGTAACACGCTGCCCCTCCCCACCCCGCCCCCCCACCAAGCATACTTTAAACCTAACTTTTGTTTCCACTGGGTTATAGTCCTTTTGGTTGTGACCTTCTTTTTCCTTGAAACACACTTTAATAAATCTTATTTTTCCTAACTAAATCTCACTGACTGGTAATTCTTTGCTCCGTTGGTGAAAAGAAACGAGGGGTAACAACTGATTTTAGGTCTCCCCAAAGGTAACAGAATCACCTCAGTTCTTGAACACAATCTGTACCTTGTCCCTTTACCTGGCTCACTCCTGCTTCATCGTCATATCAGCTAAAGCGCTGCCGGATTTAGGAAGTCTTCTTTGACCCTTAAAGACTGGGGTGGATGTTCTTCCCTTGCCCCTTCCTAACATAATTTCTGCCACACTATCGTTCAGTTGTTCAGTTGTTGGTCTGTTGTCCACCATTAAACTGTAAGTTTCTTAAAGGCATTCTTTTTACTTTTGACTCTGTAGTTGCAAGAAATAGAAATCCACTTGAGGTAGCTAATGGAAAGGGAACTTACTGAGAGGAAATGTCTGAAGCAGCAAGGAGATCTTCGTGGGAATTTAAGAACTGGGCCCATAAGAGACTCTACCTCGCAGATGTACCTCGTGGCTTTGTGCTCCTCCACACACTAATTCAGTTCTCCTCTCTTTCCATTGCTGGCAGCCGTGGCTCTAGCACATGTCTTCATGAAGCTGCTCGTCACCACAGTTTGTCTTCATAATCCAGCACATCCCTGCCAGCCTGGTGGAACCCCCTTCCCCAATCTAATGGCTTTACTTCCTGCTCTTTACTTCTTTGTTTTCTCAGTTTCCCAAGTGCAGATTTCCAAATAGCCACTCGGGTTGGCCTGGCTTACACTTTCAAACTGGGCCACACCCATAGGTCTTTGGCCATCCTGTAGGTGGGCCGTCCTTTAGGGCAGGTCCTTGCAGACCAATCAGACCTGTTGCCAGCTGGAAGGGTCAGAACTACAATATAGACTTTTTTGGTTTTTCTCTCTGCTCCTTGCTTTTTCAAGGATGTTAGGCTTGTGTTTCATAAAATTTATGGTATCCTTTGCTTTTTTTTTGTTCTTTACAGATATTATTAATGGAGCTCAAGAAAAATGTATATTGCCTCCTATGGATGGCTACCCCCACTGTGAGGGGAAGATCAAGGTAAGGCCCTAATGATGTGTATTCATTTCCATCATCCTCAGTCTGCACTAACACCCTCTTCCTTAAAGGGTGAGCGAGCCCTTTAAGGAAGTCACTTAAGGGCTGCTTCAATCCTGCCTGTTTGGGGCTGTGGCCATGACAACCCTTGCCTGCTTATGCCAGCTCCATGGGGTTAGTCAACAATGGCTCTAACTGGTCAGACTGAAAGAGCCTGGGCCGTTTCAGGCGCCTGCTGTGTCTTTGAAGCTGCCTTTCACTTGCTTTCCCAGCCTCCAGTAGGTGATCCTTCAAGGGCCAATGATGAGGGGCTACCATTAGTGTCCAAATTCTCTCTCTCCCAGTCCCCAAGCACCCCACCACCACCACTTTGAGATCTCCAGACTGTGGTTTAAATGTCACATTTGCATTTGCAGTTGAGTACCCAGAGACACTTGGCCACTCTTTCACTCTTCACATTTTTTAAAAATCCTATTTATGTGGCCAGCTTTTGAAGAAACCACTCCCTGCTCAGTAGTTTCCAGAGAAAAGTTTCAGTTCAGGAGTACATGGTCTCTGTGTGGGACTCACACACGCATAC